CAGAGCCAGGGCTCGGCTTCCTCTCTTGTCCCCTGCAGCTTCCAGGCCACTGGTCCCCCTCCTACCCTGCCAGCAGCTCCTTCCCAGCCTACATCAAGAGAACCTCTTCCTCTGAATAGCTGCCTTTCTAGTTTATGAAAGGAGGCAAGTGGCTGCGTGCTGGCCTCCGGCCCACACAAGCACTGTTGTGCTGAGGGAAAGCTGTTGAATTCTGTGGAGCTGAAACTCCGCATAAACAGACACATTTACAACTTCCTGTCCATTTAGCTATCCATCATCCTAACAAAGGTAGTACTAATAATAACTTGCACATGGGACCATTCACAGCTCACTAAGTGCTTTCACGTGCCTCTCAATATCCATATCTACGTGCAATGAAAATATTTGTATGTCTGCACAAATTTAAAAGGGCGCCGTGTTACGTTCGACTCGCTCTGCCTTCTACATGGGCTTCGTTTTGATGTGCAGGCATTGCTTAGGCCCTCTGTGACCATGTGCCCATCCTCCATTCAGTGATTGACAGGGAATTGATCTCTGGGACAGGGCCAAATGACCCTCACCATTTTCTTTCTTTCTTTCTTTTTTAATTTCTTTATTAAGGTATTACATATGTGTTCTCCCAACCCCCCATTCATGCCCTCGCCCCCCTGTTGTCTTTGTCCATTGGTTAGGCTTATATGCATGCATACAAGTACTTTAGTTGATCTAAGGGCGGTTTTCTAATTGAGGATGTCCTCTTAGTTTGGAGAAACCGAGTTCTGGAGTAAAGCAGCAGGCTCCCTGTTTGGTAGATCCCTCCCTTCATTGACAGGCTGCCTGTCAAACTGGAATCTGATCTGCCTCATTAACAAACCCTGTCGTTCACAATAGGCTTTCATTCATTTACTAAGTGGTATATGCCTCTTAATCTTAACACTGCACCACAGAGCCACCCTGTCAGCCCTCATCATTTTAATGTCATGTGTTCGTAGGGTGTTCGGAGAGGCCAAGGACTCACCAGGAGATGCGGGGAACCTCCGTGCAAGCCGGCTGAGGGGAAGGCCGGGGAGGCCCAGCTGTAGGACTGAGGCATTGGGATTAGGACACAAGGCGACCAGACCTAGCTAGTTGTTGACACTCTGTAGGCTGTGCCTTCTAAGAGAGATTCTGGAGCTTTAAGCCAAGATGGCGAGTGCTTGCATCTTGGTGCTTTGCCCAGGAGTGGGTGGGACCTACTGGAGTGCGATGTTCAGGAGGACACTGAGGCCCAGCCTGGCTCCCGGAAAAGAGTCCTTACCCGGCAGGCCTGCCTGCGTGGTGTGCGGGAGGACACGGTGGCGTCTGTGAAAGGCAGTGAACTGCCTGACAAGCTGAACCCGAGCTATCACGGGAGTCAAGACGCACATTCAGGTGGCCTCGGCCTTTTCGCCCAGCACGGAGCCTGGGGTTTCTCTCCTCGTTCTGGCTTGCTGGAACTTTGCTTTGGAAACGTCAAATATTGGGAGTCCCAAGACCACGCGGCTGAGGACTTTCTGAAGTCCCTCAGGGACTCCCACTGGCTTGCGCATCCCGTTGGCTTGGGCTGCGGCCGCGGGCTCTGTCCACTCTCCAGGGTCCCTGCACGCTGTTCCTTCTTGCCCAGTCTTCGCTGTGCTCAGGTGTCTCAGGGGCTTTCAGGGAGAGCTCACATCTCTGTGGCGAGTCCTGTCCCTCTCCCCGCGACTCCGAGTATCGTCAGCTCCCACTCTGTCCCACCCGTGACTCCTGACTCTACTTCAACCCGAACTAGAAGGTTACTCCTGACTCTGTGGGGGCCCGCTCACCTGCACCGACTGTGGACTAGGTTTGGGGGCTCTCGGCACCTGCTGTACCCAAAGCAGCTGGGTGTCCCTGCCCCTCAGCCGCCTGGTGGGCAGCACAGAGCAGCGGGCCTCCACCCGGTTTGCCACCGGTTTCAGCCGGAGGCTCGGTCCCCACGGGGAGCAGCTTCTCCCATCAGCTCACACACGCTTCAAGCAGAACCCACTCTTCCAGAGATCACACACTACTTCCTCTCCACATCTCCCACACTTGGGAATACTGTGTCAGGTTATGGCTGGGCCGTCTCCTATGGCTGCCAGAAACAGTTGGCGCACAAAGGAAAACAGCACTCACTGTCTCAGGCAGAGCAGCCCCCTGGCCTGGCCCGTCTTGGCTGCTCGGAGGTTCCGCACCCTTGTACCTTCCCCTCCGTGTGCTTCTGCTCTGTGGGATGGTGTGATGCACGGGCATCGGAGAGTGCCCGAGCTAGATGGCAGACCTACCCCCGGTGTGCACTGGCACCGTAGCTCACTTTGAAATGTTTCTTAAAACATGGATTGAAGGATGATGGATCGAGGGCAAGACAGAGTGAGCGGCAGGAACAGGTACCATGCTGACAGTGGAAGGTGGGCGGTGAGTAGCCGGATGTTCACTGTACAGTTCTTTCCCTTGGCTGCTGGTGTGGAAATTTTCATAATAGAATGTTGGTGGAGGGGGGAGGGGAATTACCCCTGACAGTGAGCCATGCTAATTTAAAACAGGCTCTTGACCAGTGTGGTCCCCGAGGCCAGAGAGTGAGGGAATGCTGCGAGCTTGGAGCTGTTTCATTTGGGAAGGCTTTCTGTGGGGAGGAGTTTCCTGCCGACCATGGCTTACACCGGTGCTGTTTGTAGACCGGGGGAGAGAGGGGCCGCAGTCCCCTCCCCAGGATGAGCTGTGCACCCACTCTCCCCCTCCCCCACAGCCCAGCAGGGTGCTGCTGTCTCCTGGAGCTCACACTGCACACACCGCACACACACCGGCTTCTTGGGGGTTAAACTGCACTGCACAGCCTCCCGGCCCTGCCTGGCTTTCCCACCCTATGCCTCAGCATTGCAGTGAGGCGGGGGGTGCTCTGGCCCCACACAGGCTTTCTGTGGCTCTGAGCCCCTGGCTGAGCGAGCAGAGAGGCTGTTGGCCTGGGAGGGCTGGAGGCCTGGCTGCTCCAGATGGCCTCGCGCCACCTGCAGCGCCTGGCACTGCAGAGCCTCCCTGCAATGTGGTCCTGACCTGGATTGTGGGTCGCGCTCCCTGGGGGTCTCACAGAAGGTGCTGTGAGACTGACACGGGTGTGGGAGGGAAATGCAGTGTGTGTGTGTGTGTGTGTGTCCCCCCCCCCCAGTCTGATGCCATCCAGCCTCTCCAGCCTCCTGCCCGTGTGTAAGGGGGTGCGCAGTGAATACATTCTTCACCACACAATACCACTTGAGTAGAATGGCATCAGGAAGGAAACATGCTGCGACAACAGTGTTGGGAGAGTTTTAAAATCTAGGTCCCATTTAGAGCGCTGCTTTCGGCCTCTGCTGGTGTAGAGCAGCGGTCGGCAAGCTGCGGCTCGCGAGCCACATGCGGCTCTTTGGCCCCTTGAGTGTGGCTCTTCCACAAAATACCACGGCCTGGGCGAGTCTATTTTGAAGAAGTTTAAGCTTAAAAAATTTGGCTCTCAAAAGAAATTCCAATCGTTGTACTGTTGATATTTGGCTCCGTTGACTCATGATTTTGCCAACCACTGGTGCAGAGAATTGAGAATCCACTGTCAGTCTTCGGGCCCCTGGCAGGTGGCACTCTCCGTGCTTTTCCTGCTGTCACATGTGCATACACCCCTGCTTACACATGCCTGGTGCACACACTTACTCTGTCACACATACACTCCCACACATGCCTAGTGTGCATGCTTACTCTCACACACGTGCCTGGTGCACACACACTGACACAAATTGGATCCTTTGAGCTGGGCATTTCCCTGCTCGTGCCACGTGCAGAACCTTGAGGGGTGTCCGCCCCTCTCCTGCAGGCTCTGGAAGGGGTCCCTCCTGCAGATGGGAGCAGGCACCCTCCGCTGGCTCTCCTCCTGGTTCGGGCCTGCTCTGTCCCCTTTCTCCTGAGAGACAGTAGGTCCTGGAGTGAGACCGTGGACCTGGTTCCAGGCTCCCTGGTTGGAGTCCTGGCTTGAGGGCCGGCAGCTGTTGCCCTACACCGAGCCACTCTGTCTTTCTGTGTCTCAATGTCATCACTTGGGGAAAGAGGAGTGTGGTGATCCCTTGCCCCGGTGTGTGTGTGTGTGTGTGTGTGTGTGTGTGTGTGTGTAAATTCAGTTGGGTTTATGGCGTGAAGCCCGATGCATATGTAGTGAGCATTGCTCAGTGTCAGCCACCACTGCCCTCGGACTGCCCCTCAGTCCCCTGCTCTGGGCTGCGGGTGCACAGCCAGACCTCAAACTCAGCGTCTCACCAGACCAGGGATGGCAGCTGTGTTAGGTTCCTACTGCGCGGTGCCAAATCCCCACACATTTAGTGACTTAAAACAATACAAAGGTATCCTCTCGGTTCTGGAGGGCAGAGTCCGCAGTCATTCTCCCTGCGCTGAAGTCAGGGTATCAGCACCCGCCCCCTTCCCCCCCCCCCTCCCGAGAGGCTCTGGAGGAGGGTCTCGGGGAGCCTCTGTTTTCCCGCCCTTTCTGTCTTCCTGCGCTGGCTGCGTTCCTTGCATTCCTTGGCCACTGCCGCCGCCTCCTCCTTCACAGGAACAGCACACGTCTCAGTTCTGTTGGCTCATTCCCCTTAGCCTTCCCCTTACATGGACCCTCGAGGTGGTCCTTGGGGCCCACTGGTACCCCAGCAGAACTCCCACCTCAAAATCCATCCTCAGTTGCTCCGCAGTCTCTTCTGCCATATGAGGTCCTGTTCTCAGGATGTGGCGTATTTGGGGTGTGAGTTACACAACCACTAAGGCTGGGAGCTCTCTGGGTCCTGTCCAATGCCGTGACGTGGCCAAGCTCTGGACCAGCTTGGAGCCCAGGCTCAGCCCCAGCCGCCGCACAGCGGCCCTGCCCTCGCTGCCCACCCGGACAGGCTCCGAGGGCACAGGGTCGCGTTCTGTTGGCCCCCAGAGCCCGCCTGGCCCCGGGTGGCACTGGGTGGCTGGTACAGGCAGGTGCTGACGCGCTGTGCGTGCCCTTTTAGGACACGGCGAATGTCACTGCGGAGAATGCAAGTGCCACGCAGGTTACGTCGGGGACAACTGCAACTGCTCGACAGACATCAGCACGTGCCGGGGCAAGGAGGGCCGGATCTGCAGCGACCGCGGGCACTGCGTCTGTGGGCAGTGCCAGTGCACGGAGCCCGGAGCCTTTGGGGAGACATGTGAGAAGTGCCCAACCTGCCCAGATGCTTGCAGCACCAAGAGGTAATAGCCCTCCCCACAGCCCCACTTCCTTCCCCCCCAGACCAGACCTGAGCCCTACCTAGCCAGTCAGCCCTCGGGCTGGCCAACCTTCTTGCCCCTGCTCCACTCTCCCAGCCTTGCTGGGGAGCAAAACTCTTACTAACATGACCTAAAATAGCATCTTTGAGATTCTGTTTCCCTGGGGATTTTGTAGGAAAATAACAAAACAGGAAAAAACCAAGACTGCCATTCTATTGGCTAAACTCATTTAGAAATTTGAGTTAAATGAAACTAAACTGGTTTTGATGCCAGAATAACATCTCCGAGTGTGCTCCGAGCATGCCAAAAGGGGGTTCAGTATGCATCTTGCCTTGAGTGACCCCAGTTTAACCTCTCCCAAGCAGTGTTCTGCGGGGCACAGCCGCTTGAAACAAACGCAATCGGAGGCAAAGGCGCAATCGGAGGCGAAGGTGGGGGGTAAGAGGGCACCTGTCCTGGAGAAGGCATGCCAACACGGACTTGCAGCGGCTGCGTTTTTTATTTTAATATATTTTATTGATTTTTCACAGAGAGGAAGAGAGAGGGATAGAGAGTTAGAAACATCGATGAGAGAGAATCATCCATCAGCTGCCTCCTGCACACCCCCTACTGGGGATGTGCCCGTGACCAAGGTACATGCCCTTGACCAGAATCGAACCTGGGACCTTTCAGTCCGCAGGCCGACCCTCTATCCCCTGAGCCAAACCGGTTTCGGCTGCATTTGCTGCTCCGTTTGTGCTGATAACAGCACGCTGGCTCCGTGCGTGCGGCTGATGAATGCGCGGATTGTGTCTCCCGGGCCTTGCCTGGCGGGGCCGCGGGTCACATTCCCGGGCTGACCTCCCACGCTCTGCCTTTCACGCTGCCAGCGAGAGGGCATTGGAGAAACGGACGAGTTCCGCCGCCAGGAAAGCCGGCGTGGCGGCCTCTCTAATTTTCCCAGAGAAAGAGCTGTGTCATCCTCCGTGCTGAGGGGGCCTGCAGAGTGCGGAGCAGAGGCGCCGTCAGAGACAAATAACAACACAGATGGCATTTCTGGGGAACGCAAAGGTGCAATGTTCTTCTGGCAGATTTCCCCCCCGAACGTCTGGCTCGGGCTGATAATGAAATGAGTTCACACTCCTCGAGCTGAGCCCGGCTGCCGGCAGGCCGTGCGCAGTGGCGTTCTGGGTGGCAGGACCCCCGGTTGGATAGTTGCCACAAACAGCCCAGGCGTGGGTAATGGGGAGCTGGCTACAGAGCCAGAGACGAGACCAGCTTGTATTTCTGTATCATGGGTGGGGAGCTGGAGGGAGGGAGGAAGGAGGAAAACAGGCCCAGGTCAGACCTGCTAAGAGTGGAAACACTATAGACATTCAAGGGGGACACCCCAGGCCGAGGGCGGGATCCTGGAGCCGGAGCCCAGAAAGCAGCGGCCCTCGGGGCGTGGCCTCATGGCTGTGATGCACATTTTGTGTTGCTGGAGGTTCCCTGGCCCATCCCACCAGCGGGACCCTGGGAGTGTATGTTCCCAGTCCTTGGGGCACATGTGGGCGGTGGGGCCACGCTAGGACAGCATGAGCTAGAATCTCTGAGATGCATGTGGAATCCATAGACGTAGACCAAGCCCATTTCTTCCCTTCGTCGGGAGCAGCAAGGCGCTGTGTGACGGCACGGGTCCGTTAAAGAGCCCCGAGGGGAAACAAGCCCTCGCTGGAAATGCTCGAAGCATTCGTGTCCTAGAAGATACAGTCTTGACTATTGACTACCCGTTATGCAATACCGAAGGCGCCAGGAGAGCGAAGGGTTGCTGTCAGGGAGCCTTCTTACTCGTCTCTGGGCCACATGGGCCTTCTCTCTTTCACGGCACAGTTGCAACTTGAAGAAAAAAAAAAGACAAGTCCCCTTGAGAGGGACTTACTGGTGTGTCAGCCTGCTTTTCTACTTGCTGCTCTGCTGGGAGATTCTCATGAAAGCCAGTGTCCTTCCCCCAGGGTTTCAGAGCAGCCGATCTCTGCTTTCTAGAACTAAGCACACACCCTTCCCCGTGGGCGAGTTCACACTCAGCCTCAGCTGATCTCCAGGAGCAGATTCTGTCCAGTCATTTGAATATGTGACTACCACACGTCCCAAGTCTCACCCCAGTACGTGAGCCACATACATTAGACCAGTGGTCGGCAAGCTCATGAGTCAACAGAGCCACATAGCAACAGGACAATGATTGAACTTTCTTTTGGGAGCCAATTTTTCAAACTTAAACTTCTTCTAACGCCACTTCTTCAAAATAGACTCGCCCAGGCCGTGGTACTTTGTGGAAGAGCCACACTCAAGGGTCCAAAGAGCCGCATGTGGCTCGCGAGCCGCAGTTTGCTGACCCCTGAGACTGACATGACTCCGTGGAGAATGAGGAAATGTGTCCTGGAAGTGGCCCTGTGGCTTAGTGACCGCAGGTGGAGGGGCCATGAGTCCCAGCCCGGGCCGAGGCCCAGGCCGGAAGCAGCTCCCTTCTTTCCCTGGTGTGAACCCCGAGGCTGGAATGGGCCAGCATGAGCAGAGCGGGAGCCTCCCCTTTCTGGACAGCACCAGCCTCCCATGCCTGGCTCTGGAGCGCTGGCCTCAGGGAAATGCAGACGTCACCAGCCTGTTTGTAACTCCAGAACGTCCTCCTGAAGTCAGCCCAGGCCAGCGGGATTTCCTGGCCAATCTGGGATAGTTGAACTCTTGAGCATGTGAGAACCCTCGTGAGAAAATCTTACCCACTTTCTCTTCATGATCTACTCCCTTGCCTGCTTAACGAGCAGAAAGGGGAGTCAGGACTTGGGGAGGTTTGACTGGGAGCCAGGCACCTGGGGGCTGGACCCAGCTGCCCTGGCTTCTCTCTGGCCTCAGTGTGGCCCTCACCTGTAACCTGGAGGCGGGGGTAAGAGAAAGGCTCTCATGCTCCCTTCCAGGTCTGTGTTCCCGCGCCCAGTGCCTGCCCTGGAAATGCAGTCACTGGCCTCTTAATCTCGAGGAATGAAAAGGCAGACAGTGATAACGGCGACATCCTGTGGTTGTACATCCTTGGTGATTTGCTGGAGACTTTGCAGGATGCACAGCCCTCGGGTCCCTACAGCCAGCGGGGAAGCAGGGGTGAGGACCCAGGGCAGCCCCCCCTGTGGCTGCGGCGCTGTGAGGTCACCCTGCACGCCGGTGCCTGGGCGAAGCCCTCGAGTCCTCACCTCATTTCCTGAGGGAGCCCCTGTTGGTTCACAAAGTCCCTGACAGTTCACAGGTGGTTTCGCCTCAGCCCACTCCTCCCTGGAATTGAGGTCTCACCATCCTGTCCCGGTTGTGTGCCCATCCCCAGGCCCCCGGGCCCTAAGCCAGACCCTGGCTCTCTGGCTGGGCATCCTCAGGAGTCATGTTCTCCCTCATGAAACTGAGGTGGAAGGGGAGTTTCTGGAGTGGGGTTTTGACTGTGGAAAGTATAACTATGAGTTATTAGTTGACCATTTTAATGAAGCATTTCACATGATATCTGATTTCAACTGTGGGCCTGAGTAGGGAGGAGAGGGGCTTCTCACCCATTTTCTCCAGAAGGCCCTGTTGAAATGGGAGTTCCCTGGGGGGCTTCTCCCTGTAGCCTCGATCAGAGCTGAGTGTAGCTCAGCTGACAGGTGCGTGGACAGCAGGGCCATGGGGAGCCTGCCAGGCGAGCTTCATGGGGTGGGAAGAGCCTGAGAGTGTCCAGGACAGTGGTTCTCAGCCCTCACTGTTCATCCAAATCCCAGAGACCCAGGCTCTGCCCCAGAGATGTGATTCCATAGGTGGGGGGTGAGGGGTCACCCAGGTAGGGGTGCTTTGTCATCAGAGCCCCCCTGGAGAGTCTAACGTGCAGGAGGGTTGCGAGCCCTGCCCAGGCGGTGACCAGGCAGTGGGGGGCATCCTGAGAGCTGGGCAACGCGGAGCCACCAAGCACTGGCCAGGGTGTGTCAGGACCCCTCCTCAAGGCTGCAGTCACGGGTTTTTATCACTCGAAAATTTTTATTTTTATTGATTCGAGATAGAAAGACATTGATTTGTTCTTTTTTTGTTGTTTAATATATTGATTTTTTACAAAGTGGAAGAAGAGGGATAGAGAGTTAGAAACATCGATGAGAGAGAATCATCAATCAGCTGCCTCTTGCACACCCCCTACTGGGGATGTGCCTGCAACCAAGGTACATGCCCTTCACTGGAATCGAACCCGGGACCGTACAGTCTGTAGGTCAACACTCTATCCACTAAAGCCAGACCGGTTTCGGCATGCATTCACTGGCTGCTTCTTGAACCCACAACCGTGACCTGTCGGGACCAGGTTCTAACCAGCTGAGCTACCCGGCCAGGACTCGGAGCAGACTCCTCAGTCAGGTGTCTATCAGAATCTGAAAGCTCTCTAGCCTTCACCTGGACATGTCTAGACCGGGCTCCAAACCTGGGTTGGTTCCTCCAAGGACCCTGGGGCTTCCCTGTCCCGGCACCACACACAGGAGAGCAGCAGAACAGAACATCCCCAAAGCCAAACACCTGAAGGCAGGCAGGAACCAGGGCCTTCGGGCGCAGGAGGGCTGGGCCGGCCTTGTTGGGAGCTCATTACATCTGTGTGGAACCACTGCTCAGAGTCTAACAACCACGTGTGCTGCCTCCTTTTCCAAAGGGATTGTGTCGAGTGCCTGTTGCTTCACTCAGGGAGCCCAGCTGACAACCAGACCTGCCAAACCCTGTGCAAGGACGAGGTGGTCACATGGGTGGACACCATCGGTGAGTGGGTGGGCAGCCTGCGCAGCTGCTTACTCTGGGGTCATCGGACACATGAGACCTTCTCCCCGTGGGATGATCTCCAGGGCTGCTTGCCGGGGAGGAGGGTGGTTTCAGAGTTAGGAAGCACGGCCTCCGTGTCCTTGGCATGACTGCTGCTCCCCCCAAAAGGACTTGGGGAACCCGAGCTGGGGTCTAGGCTCCAGACTCTCTCTAGAGTAGAAGACCTCTCTGTTCATAGGTCTGTCCCATCCCTGGAACCCAGTCTCCACCCAGGCCCCCTGAGAAGTTAGTATACTGGAATAGGCGATGTCAGCTGCTATAACAAACAAACCTCAAACCTCAACAACTCGACAGAATCTAGGTCAGTTTGTCACTCTCTGAAAGCCCAGAGGAGATGCTCCTGGCTGACACGCCTTCCCTGTGGTCACTCAGGAATCCAAGCACTCTCTCTGCCCGGGTACCTCCCTCCTCAAGGTCTTCAGAAGCCTCTTCATGTAGGTGGCCCATGGGGAAAGCAGAGGGAAGGGTCACGTGGGAATGGATATGGGCTGGGCCTGGAAGTGGTGCACACAACTTCCATTTACCTGCACACAACTCCTGTTTACCTGCAAGGGAGGCTGGGAAATGCAGTCAGCTGTGAGCCTAGGAAACCGAGTCTGCTCTCGGCGAGCAGTCTCTGCCCCATTGGCCTCTGCCCAGTGCAGCTCTTACGATGCTGCAGGCGGAGAGGACAGGGCTCTCATTGGTCCGACTGGACCCGGGAGTGAGGGCTGCCCTGGCTCTTCTCCCGTCTCTGCGCCTCTTGCCCATTCTGTGTCCTGTTGCCTTGCCCGGCGGCTTACATTTTAAGGCTCTTCTCACTCTAGCCACTCCAGTTTGACACCGTCCCTCCATCTCTCTGCCTTTCCCTCTGGGCAAAGGGCTGCAAGTCTGTTGCTGACTGGGAGCCCACAGAAGGCTCAGACAGAGGGACACAGGTGTTTGCTTCTTACCATCTTGGGGCTGCATCCATATCTATTCTGGTTCAGCCATTGCAGTGCAGGCTGAGGAGTTCTAAGAGAATGCAAAGCACATATCGGCCCTGTAAGCATGGAACTGTTTGGAACCATTCTGGAACATTCTGTTTACTACATCCAGTCAAAACGACCCTCTGCTGGAACCCTACGACCCTGCTGGTGGCAATACAAATGATGCAGCCACTTTGGAAATAATTTAGCAGTTCCCCCGAAATTAAACAGAGTCACCATATGATCTATCAATTCTGCTTCCAGGCATATACACAAGAGGACTGAAAACATAGCTTAACACAAAATCTTGTGCCTGAATGTTCATGGCAGCATTATCCATGATAGTCAAAAACTGGAAACAACCCAAATGTACATGAACTAAGGAATGGAAAATAAGACGTGGTGCGTCCATATAAGGAATATCATTCCGCCATAAAAAGGAACGGAGTGTCAGTACACGCTACAGCATGGGTGAACCTTGAAAATACTAGGCAAAGCCAGGCAGCAAAGAACCTAGGTTATAGGATTCCAGTCACATGACAGGCCCCAAACAGACAAAAGTGGAGCAACAGGGGGAGTAGACTAGCAGTTGCCAGGGAAGGAGTAGAGACCGGGGAAGGGATTGGGGCTGACTGCTCACACATATGGGCTTTCTCTCGGAGTGACAGAAACATTCTGAAATTAGACAGTAGGGAGGTCACACGCGTTGTGAATATTACAAAACGACTGAGCTATACACTTTAAAAATGGTTAAAAGGTGGGAAGACTGTGCACCTTGGAAGGGACCCTGCGTCTGAGGACCCATGGCCAGCAGCCTTGCCCTCTGTGTAACCTCAGCTGCTGCGGACTCGCTGCCCAGATCCCTGTCGGCCTGGCCCTGTCTTGTCTTTTCTGTGGACTTCCTGCTCCTGCCTCTCTGACCCTGACGGACACCTCTGGCCAGATCATGGCTCCCGAGTCTGCTGAGTCATGTATGCAGCCAGCATTCATTGAGCACCGACTGTATGCCAGGGCTTGTGCTAAACCCCAGGGGCGGTGGGAGCTTAGGATCCCATCTTTCATGCCCATTTTCCTGCCCCCATTTCTGTCTTGAAACTTAAGGCAGAGCAGCAGGTTCTGCCTGCAGATCTGGGGCTGTTGCACCCTAACTAGACACACGCAGTTGGAAAAGGTGAGACGGTGCCCGCCGTTGGCCACTAACTGGTACCCATGGCACCATGCACCAATCCCCCACAGCTGCCTCCTGGTCTGCCCCTGTGAGAGGAAGCTGTCACTTCACAGAGCAGGTTTCTGTTTGAGCCCACTCTTTACCCTGTCCCATCGTCCTCCTTGGCTTTTTTCATACACCCCCCCCCCCACACACACACACACACAGACACACGCACACTCATTCACACTCATGCAGACCAGGCGATGATGGGGGCGGAGGGGAAAGGTCCAGGCCTCGTGCTTGAAAACCATACTGCTTTCTCTGTTCCAGGCTGAAAGTCCTTTGCTCAGCAGGGTTACCCAGGCCGGAGCCGAAGAGCATTTCACGTAACAGGAGCCTGCACCGTCATTTAGGCCGACCACCCCTTCCTGTCACTCCCCTCCCCTAGCTCACACTTACAGTCCTTTTCCCGCCTCACCTTTTCTTCTGAGAAAACCCTGGGATGCAGGTCATGCCCATATGGTTGGGGACTGCGACACCTTCGCCTTGGGAAGCAGTGGGCACAGGGAGGGGTGAGGCAGCTTGAGGAAGGCCATCCTTGGGTACCAGTCGTTACCCCGACATCCTCATCGCCTTGTGGTCTTTTGGGTTTTACATCCCAAGAGAGAGCTCTGAGGCTTGGCCTCCAGCCAGCGCCCAGCCTGGGGACCACAGTGAACGCTCCCTCGGGTCTCGAGGGCATCAGAGGGCTCTCTTTCTCTGTCCTTTCAACATCCGCAGCCAATTCCATGGACCAGTCCTGCCCCAGCATCCATGCCCCCTTCTGTTCCCCTCCGCCCCAGCAAGCACTTGGGAGGCTGAATATCCTCATGTCCACAGGGATCCTTGCCTCTGAGGGAATTCATGTCCCCACAGCAAACTAAACTCAGCGCCTGGGCCTGCCTTCTTGATGGGAGAAACCTGAGCGCTCGCGCGCGCTCGCTCTCTCTCTCTCTCTCTCTCTCTCTCTCTCTTTTTTTTTTTTTTAAAGGGACATAACACGAGCATATGACCCGCACTTACTGGGAATGCCTCATTCATGAGGAATCATTGCAATCCCTAAGCCTCATCCCGAATGGGGTTCAATGGCTTACCCACATCGTGGCGTGGGATGGGCACACGCTGAGTCAGTCATTGTAGTTCATGCAGCCCTAGTCCCTCTGAGAAGCTGGGGGATGCTGATTGCTTGGGGATCGCCTGAGCCCGCTTTTAAAGGCCCAGCCTCCCTTTAAGCCTGTCGTCGGTCGGGGGTCGGTGGCTCTGGCTTGCTCGGAGACACTCAGGACCTTCCTGCCTGGCTTCCTTCCAGGGAAAGATGACCAGGAGGCCGTGCTTTGCTTCTACAAAACCGCCCAGGATTGTGTCATGCTGTTCACCTACACGGAGCTGCCCAGCGGCAAATCCAACCTGACGGTCCTCCGGGAGCCAGGTGAGGGTTCATTCGGACACCCCCCCCCTGCTCCGGGCACGTCACCTCCTCACCCTCTCCACGCTCCAGAGAGAGGAGGCTAACAGTCCTTAGAAAGACCAGACTCCAAGGCCACGCCTGCCTGACTCCTAGGGTTTAGAAGGAAGATGATAGCATCCCATTGCTGGGGTGTGGAGGGCATGGGTGTTATAGAGTGGGGAGTGTCCTGCCTCAGAGGAGAGCGGAAGCCCGGGACACACTGAACCTGCAGGGCTGAGCATCCGTGGTGGGGGCTCCTGGCTCTGCAGGGAGCTCAGGTCTCTGGACGATGAGGGCTGAGCAGGCCAGCGCAGTGCTGGGAGCATCTGGGGAGGCTCAGCCCTGGCCGGGCCACTGCACTTCCCAGCCTGGAGTCCGGGGGCAGCGGGAGGCTGGGTTAAACATTCCTGTGGGCTGCTGGGCAGCTGGGCCTCGGGGCCACGGAGGAGGCTCAGCTCTAATCCAAACAGATGCCTTTGGAGTCATTGGGATTCTAGTGTGACCCCTTTTGTTCTTCTCTGGAGAGGCGGGGGAGCAGGAAAAGATGCGCTCTCTTTAACTCACAGCATCGCACACTGTTTTTCCACGCTGGGCCAGACCGCCCCCGGCGAGTGGTGGCAGCCCCGATGCGTGCCTGTGAGCACGAGGCTGCTTCCAAGCGCTGCCTCTGCGGCTCTGTGAAAATAAGCACATCTGCTCCGGAGGGCACCGCGCTGAGGGCTGACAAACGTCGGCTGGCCCCGGCCCAGCCCTCGTGGAAGTGGCTCACGGAAGCCCCGCCTGCCCAGGCCGCCCCTGAAACCACTGACAGGCAGCGGAGGCGTGGCCCGGCGTCCTGCACGGGGCCCCGGCCAGGCGGGACCGGGTGCTGGCAGCTGGGGGGAAGCAGCGTGGGCAAGGCACATGGGAGGACGTGGAGCAGCCCCCTGGGGTCTCACCTGGACTTTGCCAGAGGCTTGCTGCGCAGCCCCTCTCTCACCGAATGGGCATCAAAGAAACCTGCCTGCCTACCCACGTCGCCCAGGGCAGCACAAGGCTCTTAGGATGAGGGAGGGGTGAGGGAGAGACAGGTACCTTTCATTTAAATCCCCTGAGGCTGGGGGGATGGGGCGGAGGGGCACACCATGGGGGTGCCTGTGCTCACCGTGCCTCCTGCCCCCGCCCCCCAGAGTGTGGTACGGCCCCCAACGTCACGACCATCCTCCTGGCCGTGGTCGGCAGCATCCTCCTGATCGGGTTCGTGCTCCTGGGCATCTGGAAGCTGCTTGTCACCATCCACGACCGCAGAGAGTTTGCCAAGTTCCAGAGCGAGCGGTCCAGGGCCCGCTATGAAATGGTGAGCCGCTGGGACGTGGGAAGCAGGGGTGGAAATGCCAAGTATAGGGGTCTGGTTGAGTTCAGGCAAGTGGCAATCAAAGCAAAGAGCAGAACCTGCACGGCAGCGTGCGCCCTCCTCTGGTCGGAGAGAAGGGTGTGGCCAGGAGCACAGAGGGGGGCCCGGGACAGAGTCGGGAGGCCCAGGGGGCAGCGGGTGCTCGCAGGGCCTCCCCAGAAAGAGTCTGGAGGATCTTAGGGAGACGACAGACCCAAGGTCTGTATCTCAGGATCCGTTGGCATCAGTCTGGACTCCACAGCGAACTGCACGTTCCCAAAGGGCCGAGCAGAGTAAGGGGGTTCCTCGGCTGAACCCCCAGCTACCGTAGTTTCTGTTCCAAGTGGGAGGGAACTTCAGAGGCCATCTCCCATCCCTCCCTGCAGAGGTGGAGAGGGAGAGCTCAGAGGGAGGGACGGGCCCGGGGCAGGCGAGTCAGAGGCCGCCGGTCCCTGCACTCAAGGCTCTCCCGCCTGCTGCCCCCCTGGGTGGCTGGCCTCCAGCCCCGAGTGTGCGGGTGGGAACGCACGGACTAACAGGTGTCCTCCTGCCTTCTGTGTCCTGCAGGCTTCAAACCCTCTGTACAGGAAGCCCATCTCCACGCATGCGGTGGACTTCACCTTCAACAAACTCAACAGATCCTACAACGGCACCGTGGACTGACGGCTCCTCCTCCTCCGAGGCCTGGAGGGGCACTGGTGGAGTCAGCGGCTGACATGCTTGGGGCGGCTGCTGGACGCAGTCTCGGCTCCTAAATAGACACGCAGAGACTTAGCGGAGTGCCTGGGAGAGGAGCCATTGCCGGCTCAGGAAGGCTCCCGGCCTGCTGTGCGGCAGGCTGCTGGGCCAGAGCCATGCCAGGCGCCACCCTCCGCACCCGGGAAGGACCTGGGGAGCGTGGCGGGCGCTCTTGGCCTTCCCCGCCACATCCCACTCGTCCTGCCTGTGGGCCGCCCCTCCCTCCCAGGAGGGCTGGGCTGCAGTCTGGCCGGAGCGGAAGGCTCCTGGCAGGGTCGGAGTGTGGACGGCCTAGCTTTTTTCTCGTGTTGATCATTTTTATATGAAATAAAAAGGTCGTGCATTTATGGCGTCATCGTGATTCCTGAGGGTTGTCCGCCTGGTGTCTGTGCACCTGGGTGTTGGTTACGGAGTGATGGAGACACGCCTGCGGAAGGCACCGAGTTCGCAGATGTCGGCTTTCCTCTTCTGTTCGTGAGTGCTTAGTACTTGCGTAATGAAAAGAAAGGAGATTGCTAAGGAGGTTGAAACAAAGATTAAAACCAAAGTGTTTTGTGTTTGCCTGCCGCTCTCTGCGGGTCCCTTCCCGAGGTGGCCTTGAACGGCGCCTCCGTGGGGACCGAGATGGCTGCACACTTCCCTCCAGGGCCTCACAGGCCAGCCCCGCACTCCAGACCAGCCTCTGCACACACAGCAGCCGGGGGGGTGGAGGGGCCCTTAGGGGCAGCCAGGGGCCCCAGGAGGGCTGAGCTGATACTCAAGGGCCTTCCCCGGTTTTGCTTAAAAAAAGAGTGTGGGCTAGAAAACGTGAAGACCTCTCCCTCTGACTCCCTTCCCCAGTTTCCAGACACTGAGGCCAGAATCAGGTTGAAGAAGGGGTCAAGATGTGGTTTCCAGAGAAAAATCACGTCTTACCGATGGCTCTCAAGAAAATTACGTCAGTGCCTTCCTCACCAAACTCCTACATCCCAACCAGGCCCAAAACACAAAACCCATAAGGTCCCCCTATCTGAGATGGAAGGAGCCCCACAAGTTGTTTGATCCAACCTCCTGTTTATAGAGGAGGAAACTGATTGGCAGAGCGGGGAGGTGGCCTGTCCAGGTGTAGGGAGGCTAACTCGTGGCAGATGGCTACTAAAGAGCCAGGTCTGCACCAGAGTGCAGCCTCCTAATGACCTGCTCTTGTTTGTAAAATCTCTCTCTAATCATTCTTTGCTGTTGGCATTACTTCAAGGTTATTGGGCTTTCATTCCAAAGAATTCATCTGTTTTCAGCCTGGGACCAGATTCCGCCTTAGTTTTGGCAAACAGGGAGACCAGGCTTGTCAGTAAACGGGGCCTCTTCCCCGGACAGATGTGCACAGACTCTGTTTCCTTTGTCCTGTGCCGTTGGGAGACCCCGTGACTTGGTGAAGCTGCCTCCAATCCTTTTTGAAATGAAGCCAAATGTAAGTAAATATACAACAACTAGAAGCCCGGTGCACAAAATCCATGCGTGGGAGGTGGCGGGGGGGGGGGGGTGTCCCTCAGCCCTGCCTGTGCCCTCTCACAGGCCCGGAGCTCTCAGGGGATGTCTGACTGCTCCTGCCACCACTGCTGCACTTGCCAGCCATGAGCCTGGCTCCTGGCTGAGCACACTGACCACCAGGGGCAGCTCCTGCCTTGAGCAGCTGCCCCCTAATGATCAGTGTTCATCACAGCAACCATTCTTTCAGCTGTTCAGTTGATTTGCATATTAGTCTTTTATAATAGGATAGGATAGGTAAATGGTGGCTTCGAGACTTTCTAAATTGGAAAAAAAAAAAAAAAAAAAAAAAAAGCACACCTGGATTTGGAAAGAAGCGTTGGGTTTCTCTTCCGTTTAATTGTGGGGTTCCTGTAGACAAGTTGTGAACTTGTGCGAAATGTCACTTTCTTTTGGGCGCGGCATTCTTGAGAGCTGGCAGCAAAGGATGATTTGTTGGGGCTTCTTCACATTAGGGCTGTTTCATGTGACACCAGATGGCGGGTGATAGAACCAGCTGCTCACAGTGCCCTGCTGCCCCCTGCTGGAAGCTCTTGGGACAAGCTGTTCAGAGACCTGATTCTGACCCAGTATTGTATGTGATTTCTTTATTCCTTTCCTTTCCTTAGGGGATTTGGCCATGTCCCTTTTCCCTTTCCTCCTCCCTCTCCCCAGTTAACATAGATAATGGAGCAGGAGCTGAAGATGGGCTGGAAAGCTCTCAAATCAAGGGCTGTGGAGGCACAGGGGGGATGAGCCTTCTCATGCAGCAGAATCGCCATGTGTGGCTGCCGTGCTCTGCAAGGAGCACCCGGCAGTCCCGGAAAGTTCTTTCCTGGTGTCTGTCTGGAAAGACAACTGGAGCTTTGGCTGTTTGTTGGAAAGAAGGGGGTGCTCTTTACCGTGGTAATCAATCTGTTGATACACAGATTTCGAAATGGTACTTATTACTTTTATTGGTTTTAAACTTTTTCATTGCCAAAGTAAGACCTGAAAAATAGGTTATAAAAAAGTAAAGAAGTCTTTTGTAATCATTCTACGTAGAAGTAACTATTCTTGATCTTTCTGTGTATGCCTTCTCAGTCTTTTTTTTCCTACATATACATACACAACTTGAAGCAAATGAGGACTATAGTGTCATTCTCATTATAAGGACCGGGGACTCTCAGCTTGGTTGATTAGTACGTAGTCAAACTCAAGTAACAGCCGCCTCTTCTGGGAAGGCAAGTTGCATTCTGCTTAATTAGGACCCACGCTTGAGGTTATCAGGAAACTCTTGGGATGAATTCCAGGTGACAGCAACAGATGGGGAGATCAGAGCAGAGGTGTTCCAGTCCTTTTAACCAAACAGCCCCGCCCGCTGTGGGGGGCTTTCGGCTGTGGCTCCTGCTTCTGAGGAAGGGTCAGAGGCGCAGCCCAGCAGGGCTCTGTGACTGCCCAGAAGGAAGACGATGGCAGCAGCTTGGATGGAACTCGGGAGGAGGTAAGTGTTAGGTCTGATCAAATAATTGCATCGATACCTTCTCCCCTGGGAACTGACCTTAGGCCACGTCACAATAAACGCTCCACTTGCTTAGACCACATTCCACCTGCTAAGACCACCATCTCTCCCCTCTGGGCTTTCCCAGAATCTCGACCAGCACAGAGAATTCTTCGCTCAGAAAAAGCCTGCCTAGAGTCCTTTAAAAACCCCTCACTTCCCATCTCTGGGGCAGCTGGTGCCATTTGGGGCTCAGCCCACCTGGTATCCACATAACCTAATACATTTATAATTCTTGACTCCTTTTGGCCTCATGCATTCCTCCTCCGGTGACCCTAACATTTGGTGCCGAAACCCGGGAGGGTTCCACGGGGATGGGGAGCCATCACCCCTGCTTTGGTCACCCTGAGCAGCTTGACCTGGGCTTACCTCTGAGTCCTACCCGGGTGACATGATTGCTGGCCTTCATTAGGCTTCCCTCCCTCACAGACCCTCCCGAACCAGCCAAGGAGGACACCGGATCGGGACTCTCTCCTCCACTGCTGACCCTCCATCCCACACCGGCCAGTCTTCTCTAGGTGAGTGGTGTTGTAAGAAGTTCCCTTGTCGTGAGTCTTCTGCCCACTCTCTCTTTCTCGCTGACTTCTCAAAGTCTCTTGTCTCAAAAGTCCTAGCACTAGGCCAGTAGACTCTTCAGCTGTTTGGTTTGGGACCTTGTGGGTGGGGACGCCCAGCCCAGAGGGTCACCTCTCATTTTTCATGATGATTTGTGTAGCAGCAGAGACGCCTGCCCTGAACAGTCACCTTTGGATTTGTGCTCTGTCGCTCACCGTTCCTCTCTCGTGGGCCACACCGCACTCCTTCTGCACACTCATGGGGGAGATCAGGCCATCCACCTCATTTTATTTTGTAACACTGTTTGGCCACAACATAAACTAAATAATAAGTCTCAATGGCCTGAAAACGGCATTTTCAATTTTAACACACTGCATAATTTATTTATTTTTTTAAAAAAAAACTTCTTTAACTAGTTGGATGTTTGTTTTTTTTATTTTTTTTAATATATTTTATTAATTTTGTACAGAGAGGAAGGGAGAGAGATAGAGAGTTAGAAACATCGATGAGAGAGAGTCATCGATCAGCTGCCTCTTGCACATCCCCTACTGGGGATGCCCGCAACCAAGGTACATGCCCTTGACCAGAATCGAACCCGGGACCTTTCAGTCCCCAAGCCGACGCTCTATCCATTGAGCCAAACCGGTCCCGGCACACTGCACAATTTAGATCATCGCTGTCGCTGCAATGGAAAAGGTCAGGGATTCCCTACGTCCAGCCCCTTTTCACCTTCAGTCCCAACCCTCTCTCTCAGCCCTGCTCTACCCATCAGATCTTTCTCCTTCACACAAAACATCTTACCCCAACACTTCTGATTCTGAATCTACTTTTGACCCAGCAGACCACCGACCACCACCTCCTTACATGCCCCCTCCCTCACCTGCAGTAGACTCCCCAAACCCAGACCCTTCTAACCAGCTACCACCTTCTCTCTGGCCCCTCAGGGCCCACATCCCAAGAACACAAGCTCCAAAACAGCCTTTTCCCATCAACACTTGCTCTCAACTGCCTCTTCTATTCCCGTGCCCAGTCTACCCCCGAGGGAGGCAGCAGGAATGGAGGGCTTTGTGGTCAATTATGTCAAAGTTAGCGAAATCACTCAGGCCCTGACGAAAACCCAGCTCTCTGCCTCTCCCGCCTCACAGAGGTCTTGCAGAAATTCACCATCTTAAACCGCACCCCTCAGAGGGAACCCTTCTTCTGAACACCCATACTATATCCCAGTCAGCCCCCGACACACACCATAAACTTTGGAAAATAGACACCGGTCCACAAACCCCTCAATATCATCTTGTTAATCTGACCTTTACGGTCTTGAATAATTGAG